TTATTAGAATACTTGGTATTATATGAAGGAAAGCTTTCTATACTCTGCTAGCATTGCCAGAGTTGTTTTTTTGGCGGGGGGGGGGGAAGTGAGGGGATGTGCACCTTAGGGTTTTTTTTTCTTTTACTTAAATAGGACCATATTATTCATACTGTTCTATACTTGCCTTTTTCATTAATGAGATATCTTAGCTATCTTTGTATTGTAGAATCACATACAAGGCTGCAAGGTTTAACACCATGAAAGCGCCAACACTTATTTAACCAGCATCCCACTGTTGGACATTATATGGTTTATTTCTTTGCTATTACAAACAATACTGCAATGAAGTTGTACATATATTGTATAACGGATTCCCAGAAGTGAAATCGTTGGGTGAAGGTAAGGGCACTTTTAATTCAGAGATTTTTCTTGTTGGATGATCAGTGTCCCACATCTTCAAATAAGAAATTGAATTTTTTAAAAACATCATTTTGGTTTCAGAAAAAAGAAATAACAGTCACCTACATTATTTACAAATAAATCCAGAAATATTCATTTAGGGCTAACCAAAGAAGCAATCCCAGAACCCCATGCACTATTATTAGATTCAAATAGAAGAGATAAAAAAGGTTTTGTATTTTATCTTCACTTAACAGACCTTTTAGCTTATAAGTAATTAGATCTGTCAGAGAAAACAAAAAGCAAAATACATACCGCCGCACAAACTGTGTGCTTTAGGAGTTGAAATATTGTTTTGTCCATATGAGATAACCAAGCTCTCTGGATCCTTTGAGCTGAAATATCTTCACTAGCTCTGAGAAGAAAAACAAGAGGTTAACATTAATGAAGTAGTTTTCATTTTCCTAAAATCTTGGAGAGCTCTGAATTTATGCTTCTTCCCCCTGCACCCTCCCGTCCCCTACCCTAAGACTGACCTAATGAAGAACATTTGGATGTGGTAATTGGAACTGGTCATTTGCAGAATCCAGTCAGAATGAGGATACAAGATATTTGAGAATATTTCCCTTGGGATTAAAAAAGTCCTGGCTAAAACCTTATCAGCAAAAGGCATATATAACTAAAAATGTAAGAAGAGACAAATTTGCTTTCTAAAAACATCCATGACCTAAAATGATTCCATTATAGTTAGTTCTTAAGAACACTGTCCAACTAGTCCAAGTGCTATGAAAATAGAATGTAGAATACTCAAAGTTACAGTAGGTCCAATTCTTTTCTGGGAACAGACAACCAGGCCCTAAAAAAAGAAACTCCTTTTTCTAATCTTCGCTTGAAACAGGCTCATCCCAGTCAGGTCAGAGAATTATCTTACTTTGGATCACATCTCAGCACTAGCAGATTGTAGGGATCACCCTCTCCAAATGCCCCCAATCCCATCCTTACCCCTCACAGGGCTACATGTAAAGAGAGGTAGATACTCCTGTATAATGTCACCCTTGGCTGGCAAAATGCAGACTATAAGATGTAGAGTAGAAAAGGCCTGACATATGGAAACAAAGCTTTAAATCATCGCTGATGCCATTTATTAGCCGTTTAACCTTATGCAAATCACTTACCTTCTCCCAGTTGCTGCTTCCTCACTTATAAAATGTAATAATAAGACTGCTTCACAGAGTTGTCAGAATCAAAGAAATGTGTGTTAACATGCTTTGCAAATTATGAAATACTATAATTATAATAATTACTATTCAGTTCAAAAGTAATTTTAAAACACACAAAAAACCCTCTAATTTACAAAACAAGAAGTGTTTGATGTTAGCTGGGTAAACACGGTATGGAAACTGACCAGTAGTGGAAAATGATAAAGGGCGAAAGATGGCTACTTACTGTTGTACTGCCTTTCTCTTTCCAATATTTGACAGATGCATTTTGTAGTCTTTTCCTGAGCATGGATTATCTGATTTTGGAACACCAGTAACTGATGCCTTTGAAGAACCCTTCATATTCCTTATGATGAAGTGCTCTGAAAGTACACAGATTCAGCATTTGAGGTCATAATCTATATTCTTGCACTGTTTGGACAAGACTCAAGTGCCATATGAATGTTGGGCTAATTCCAGAACACGTTACAAAGGCAGGCATCATGGATCTGTTAATGTTGCTTACAGTTTACATGCTTTAGGTACTAAAAATATTCTGAGGGACATGGAAAAGACAAGTGGATCTATCCATAGCCTTCTAACTGGTCCGCCAGTCTTCAGTCTCTGTGTCCTCTTGGTCCTCCTCCACACCACAGCTCGAGTTAATTCTGTAGAGCAATAATCCAGCTTTCTGACTCCCCAGCTTAAAATCTTTAAGGGACACTTCATTTCCTCCACACTGAAGTCCAGACTTTTCTCAATCTACGGTCCACTCTTTCAAATATCAAAATACCAACTTTCACCAGCATTCCTCTCTAGACTCCGTGAGAACAAGAACTTCTCACCAAAATCAGCCAAAGTTTTTCAACTCTGTGCCATTGATCATGCCATTTCCTCTTCCTGGAGTGACTTCCCTACCGCCAGCAAACATCTATTCATCTTTCAAGACCCCAGCTATTTGATGCCTCTTCTCTGAAGTTTTCCACTCTCTCTTTTTCAACAACTGTTCACCCTGTCTCCAAGGTCCCATAATACCGTACATGCTTTTCTTTCACAGTACTTCTCATGTCATGATTTTTCTTGGCTGTCACCCCACCAAGCTCATTGAGGGCCAGAGGCATCTTGCTAACTATGGAATCCTCCATGCCCAGCGAGAGTGGAGAATTTTTACATGCTTGTCTAAGAGCTTTCTGTCCTGGTTTTATCATGGAACAGCAGTGAGACTTTGGGCAAGTTCCTTAACCTCTTGGTACCTCAGTTCTCTCCGTGGTAAAGTGAGAGGGTGTGTACTAACTGTACTGATTCCACCTTTGGTTTTCTATCCTTTGATGCATTACGCCGATTTGGATGCAGTTCACAAATTCTTAGTCACTGCTTAGTCTCTTCTACTAAAGCAGGGGCTCTTCATTTTCTTCTGGTGCCATGGACCCCTATGGACAGATTCCTAAGAATTACATTTTATAAATGCATAACATAAAACACATAGGACCACAAAGGACTCTATATTGAAATCACTGTCAAAATATTTTCAAAAACAAAATTATAGGAATCTGTCCTCTTTAGGCGTTAAATAAGATGAGCGCTCTAATAACTACTGTACTTGCGAGGTGGTAATGAGCAGAAATGGTATGTCCAGAAGTCTGCCATGACTGTAACACTGTATGAAAGTATCTGTGCTTTCTACTGGTGACTAAGTCCCAGGTACTGCTGATACCACTGTGCTTTGTTGCCTACACTATAAGTGAAAGAAATGTTAAAGTTCAGTTAGAGATGAGTGAAAATAAAGTTGTAATTTTTTTCCCCATCTAAGTTCATATATCCCTTGAATTAAGAACTCCTGCCCTGGGGCACCTGGGTGGCTCAGTCAGGTTGAGCATCCAACTCTTGATTTCAGCTCAGGTCATGAGCTCATGGGTCATGGGATCAACGGGGAGTCGGCTTGAAAATTCTCTCATTCTGCCTCTCCCCCTGCTCTCTCTCTTTCAAATAAATAAATCTTTAAAAAAAATTTAAGAGCTCCTGCCCTAATTTATCACTATACTTCACTCTTTTATATACATGTGCCATTCCATTACAAATGCAGAGCCTTCAGTCTTCTCAATATTTGTCCTTGAGGATAGGGATAGGGATGGCTTGGAATATACAATTCTCTTGAGAAACAGAAAAGCAGCCCTTAACATGTGGGAGTTGGCCTGGCACTCACAGCTGGGATTTGGTACTATCCTGGCTTCCTAACATCACCCAAACCAGAGCAAAGCCTGGCTTCTTTGAATTCGCCCCCAAATTACCTAACCAAAGCCCAAATCTTTTTTTTTTTTTTTTTTTTAAAGTAGGCTGCATGCCCAGCATGGAGACCAACGGGGGTCTTGAACTCACGACCCTGAGATCAAGACCTGAGCTGAGATTAAGAGCCCGATGCTTAACTCACTGTGCCACCCCAGGAGCCCCAGCCCAAATCTTATAATAAATGTTTCTAGCACCCTCTCACTGAGATGCCCTGCTGTGCCAAGTTGTGTGTTTTCCTTGCAGCAGTGAGGCATAATAAACCCAACTTGTTCAACTATAGATGTGTTCCTAGTGGTCTGTGGCTGGAGGGCGCGATGCGGCCTCACACAAACCCCCAAAATCTTTTGGATGCCCGCCTGGATGAATTTACACTTTCTATGGGGGTGAGGACGTGTAATACAGATCGAAATATGAAGCATACCCCCATTATGAGACAGTATAACAATTATTTAGGCGAGATCACAGGCTTTAAAGACAGACTACCTCGGTTTGGATTCTGGGTTCCCACTTTTTCCGTGTGGCCTCGTACAAATTACTTCTCCGTGCCTCGGTTTCCTCATCTACTAGATTGGGAAGAATAATCGTACTCACCTACCTGGGTTGTTGGAAAGATTAGATGAATATGTGTAAGGAGTTTAGATCAGAGCTGAGCACATAGTAAACACGGTGTTAGTGTTTTGTTAGTGTATTCCTGTTAATTAGATCATTACTCTCATTATTACCTTTTCTAGTAGTATTAAGGGACATTTGATTCCCAGAGAGGGTCAGGGCCTTTCGAGACTAAAGGATATGGCAAATTAGATTACATTTAAAACCTCAAGAACTTCCAGCCCACGGAAAAAAAAAAATCTGAAAACCTTTTGTGAGATAATTCCAGGCCCCAGGGGTCGGCAGCTTCCGGCTGTAAGACTTTCAAAGACGCCTGAGACCAGCTGAGCGCCCCCGCCCGGCAGCCTCGGCGCACAGTATTCCCAGCCCACGCCGCTGGGCGCCCAATCGCGGTAGCGAAGGCCGATTCCCAGCGCGGCTAGGAGCCTGGCGCCTCCCTCCTCTCGCCCCCGCGTGCCGCCCACACTGAGCTGGCGCTTTCCTGCCGCCTAGCAACGGTCGGCGCAGGGGCGGAGCCTCCGGGAGGCGGGGCTTGCGTTCGCTCCCTGACTGAGGAGCGACGCGTTACCGCTCAGCGACGCCGCTCCCAGACCAGGCTTCCGAACAAATCCTTCGCGGGATCGAATTGGCTGTTCGGCAGTCATCTGCACCGCGGCCCGCTTGCGGTCAGAGGAATCAGGGCCCTATCCGGCCACCGTAGCCACCTCTCTGTAGTGGGCGGGGCCAAGGCCGGGGTCACCCCGCCGGAGCCACCTCTGCCAGCAGCATGTTCAAGGTGAGAGCGTGGAGCCGGGTCACAGCTGTCACCGCCCCCTCCCGGCCTCGCGGAGCCCTGCTCGCGCTCTCGTGGGCTTTCCCGGGGGCTAGGCCCGGTTCGCCCCGAGGCTTTCCCGCCTCCGGGCCGGGTGCGTCCGGACTCCGCAGTTCATTCACTGACGCGCTAGGAGCGAGAGGTTGCCGGGCGGAGGCGTGAGATCCCCGGGTGGGTGGGCGGGCCATGTGGGTCTTGCTCTCGTGAATAAAACACTTTGAAAAGTTAAAGTACCCGCCAAAGTATTCACCCACCCCACCTCCCGATGGTTCCTTATTGGGTTCTTGGGTAAGGAGAGGCCAGCCCAGGGCACTGCAGGGTTCGGCTTTAGTTGCCTGGCGGGGTCAGGTTTCAGAACCTGGTGTGTGAATGGGGGAGGGTCACCTTTGGAGAAGCTGCTGTAGAATTTGGGGAAGCTGGTGTGGGAATGGCTGAAAGGGTGGGAAGCTGGAACTTAGTTCCCCTCCCAAGTGAACATTATTTAGTATAGACAAGTCGATCCCCTTCGATCCCCTTCTTTACGTTTGACGAACTTTTGTCCTTTGAAAGAAATCGCTTTTCTTTGTTTCGAAAATCTGCATTTTAACCCGAAGCCATTATTCTACTTTTTTTAAAAAAGTAAATGTTTTCTATCATGAGAAATCACAAGCTACGAGAAATTAGTCTACAAAATTGAGTCTTCAAGAAGCATAGCACCCATAAAATAGTGCTAATGAAATCTCAAAATTGTACTACTTGTTTAAAAGTTTTATTGTGGTTCTGCAATGTGCTCTGGGCACATCAGGACAGGCTATAAAATCAGAACATGGATTCGGCCTTACAGTCCTGGCATTGCCACTTTCTAGCTGGGTGACCTTGGGCACATCACTAACCATTTTGTGCCTGTTTTCCTATCGGTGAATTTGGGGGAATAGCATATACTTAATAGGGTTGTTAGAAGGAATAAATAAGTGAGTGTAAAACACTTGGAAGAGCTCTTGGCATATAGAAGGGCCATCTAAGTATTTACTTTTATTTTGTTTTCAGGCTGGTTTACTTACCACTACAGATCATAAGCAACTTGCATTCATTCGATAAATTTGTGTTGAACACCTATTATGTGCTAGGAGCTCAGCTCAGTTTTAGGGTTGCACCAACAAAGGATATGCTGTGATCAGTTTCTATGGGTATCAACAATGCACTGTGGTAGTAGAAAGCAGAGCAGGATCTCCTCTGCCTCAGGGGTTCCCCTCTACACCGGGGGTTCTTGACCTGTGGTCTTCAGCCCCTCAGTGGGTCTGTAGATAGAATTCAGGGGAGTCCCTAAACCCTGATGGAATAAAAAATCTTTCTTTTCACCAATTTGCAACTGAAATGTTAACATTTCCTTCAGTTGTGAGTGTAGGTAACTGTTCCAGTTAGCTATTGCTGGGTAACAAGCCAGTGAAAACCAGTGCCTTAAAACTACAATAATTTATTATTTCTCATCATCAGTGGGTTGCCTGGGCAGTTCTGGCATCCCCAAGTGGCTGAATTCAGCTGGTGCCTAGACTTTAAGGTGGCCTTACTGTAATGTATGGGGGCTTGGTGCCCCTCATTTTGCCTTCCTTGGGCTTCCTCACATGGTCACTGGGTTCCAAGAGGGCAAGTCCGATTGTGCAAACACTTACCTGCTTGCATCACATTTGCTGATGTCAAAACAAGTCACATGGCCAAGCCAGAGTCACTATGGGTGCACTACACAAGAGCATGGATGTGAGGAGGTTCATTGGGAGCAATTAATTTAATAAGCTAGTACAGCAATAAATCACAATAGTATTAGCAGTACCTGTCATCAATAGAAGTCACAGGACCAACAGATGTCACAGATATTTTCATATCACAATTTTTGCAGATCGCAAGGTATCATTTATGGTCATCACTACTTCAAAATTACAGTAGTTAAAAGGCTCACTGTTAGGTCCTTTTATTTAATGAGGTAATGAGTATATATTACTATATCACCTTTTGAGTTTTAAAAATGTTTTTATAACTATTGAAGTATAGTTGGCATTTTATGCAGTTAGAAGCATTATTTTGAGAAGGGGTCCATAGGGTCTGTGGCACAAAAAAAAGGGCAAAGAACCTCTGGGAACTTAAGGGGAGGCTTCACGGAGGAGACATTTACATTAATTTTGAAAGACAAGTAGGAATTCCTCAGGTGGATGAGCTGGGGAGCATCAGCAGTGGTACTCCTTTGTGGGGAGTGCTAGTATAGCTCAGCTTAAATTATTCAGACATATAGTTTGAGTAGAAAAGATCACAACAAACCCTGGCAGACACCAAAATATAAGAAATAAGCAGAGGAAGAGGGGAGGCCAGAGATGTTCGAGAAGCAATTTCTGATAAGTAGGTGTACAAAAGGGTGATGTTTAGAAAATCAAGGGAAAAAAGTTTCAAGGAGGACAGGCTATGTTAGGATGCTTTCAGCTGGGCAAACCCAGTTACTTAAATAGTAAGGAGAATTCTCTCACAAAGTCTAAAGGAAGGGTGGACTACAGTGGGTCAACAATGTTATCAAGGACCTGGGCTCATTTCTTGGCTTTCCATGGTAAGATTGGTTCCCCTTATGGTTGTAGCATGACTGGCAATAGTAACACATGCTTTCTCATTCACTAGAGCAGGGGAGAGGACAAAACTTCCATGCTTGGATTACGCTTTTCCTTCAATCTGATTGGACCAACTTAGGTCACATGTCCGCCCCTGACCTGATAGCCAGTGCCAGGGGAATGCCATGCTCTGATTGGCTTGGACTAAACAGGATCCGCTAGGGATGGGGTTAGTTTACCTTAAACACGTGGAAGAGAAATGAATTTAACACAGTGGGGAATGGAGTTTGGATGTGGGACCAGCAATGTCCATTACAGAGAGATAAGTTAGATGAATTTAGAGAAGTGTTTGTTAATTTGGGCAATTTGGAAAGCTTTCGTGACTTTTATACATGTGGGTTTACTGATGGAAATGAAAGCTATATTAATATGGGTTGGTGATTGAGACATGAGTAAATGGACACAATGGTGGGGTTGATAAATTTGACTTTCTCCTTCAAGGGAAGGAGAGAATATGGTAACTAGAAGGACATGTTGGGTCAAGATTGTAGAGTTGTTTTTGTGGTTGTTCCAGTATTCAAGATTTGACAGTGTTTATGGCCTTAGGGAGGAATGTAGGAGGGGGCTTTTAGAGGAGAGAATGCCTCAGCGTCAAAAAGGAGGAAAGATGTTGCCTTCCTTCTGTGAGCTGGAAAGAAAAGGTTGGGAGTGATGGTAGACGAGTGGTTCTCAGCGAGACAGTACCAGCCACTTGGGATACATTTTGGAAACTTGGATTGTTTCTGCATGTCTTTAATTTAGTTGTTTTTAACATTTATATACTGAAATATAATTCTTATAAATCTTTCACTTTTGTTCTTTAACATGTTACCATCAAATCAGTATACTGGTCTCTCTTTTTTTGGTCTTACATGTGTAGATGGGTGATAAATTTTATTTCAAGATAGCAAAACAGGGTCTTAGAATATTTGTCATAGAATGGCGGTGTTAGGTCTAGTAGTTGAGAAAGTTAAGAACCAGTGCTTCTCAAACTTTAATGTACATGCAGCTCTGCTCCAGTAGGTCTGGGGTGGGGCCTCTTGGTGTCCATTTTTTTTTTTTTTAGTGAGCTTCTGGATGATACAGATGCTGCTGGTCCCCCATCGTACTTGGAATAGCAAGAACTGAAGCAGATGGGTAGATGAATGGTTTCTTGTGTTTTTAAAAGTAGATCGATTTTATGAGTGTGGTGGGATTTGCAGGAGGCACTGACCAAAGGCAAAAAAGGTCAGTGAGGGTCGTTGAGGACTCTTCTGAGAACTGATTCGGGAGGTTCATCATGGCTGCCTCCTGGAAGTGGGGACCAGCAAATGGTAGGATTCATCTGGGTTTAAGAGTTATCAGCTTGGGTCAACCAGGACTGGAGCAGAAAGGAATTGATAGTATAGGTGTTGGTGGAAATAGTACTGTGTGTGTGACTAGTTATGTGCATATACGATGAAGATATTTAAACTGGAACCATTGTTTTGATTTATCCATCTTCAGGTCAGTAGGGGGCACTGGTGGATTAAAAAACACATTTGGAAAGCTGCCCAGTCGGTATTTGCACACTATTCCAGGAAGCAGTTTTTCTAGGTGCTGCTGCTGGAGTTGAAAATATATACCCAGTCTCCAGATTCATGTTACTAGATTTTCATTCATTACACAAATGTTTGTCATAGTCCAGCTATGACTGAGCACTGTGCTACACCCTCGCTGGTACTAATAAAAAGTCTTAGTTCTTACCAGGACAGAGTCTCCAGATTTGGCCGCATGCCAGAATTATTCGAGAGACATTTTCCAGGGCCCTGCCCATGGGTCTGATTTCGTTTTTATGTGAGGTCCAGGAACCTCTGGTTTTGAACCACCCCACCCCCCAGGTGACTAAAACTTCAGGTTAGTGGTGCAGAAACGGCCCATTCCAATGCAATGTGGTAAGTGCTCTGATGTAAACATTGCAGGAAGTATAGATCATTGGGTCTCAACTTTGGCTACACCTTAGAATCACCTAGGGAGCAAGTCCTGCTGCCCAGGCTGCGTGCGGGCCAATGCCCTCAGAATCTTTAGGATTGGGATGTAGGCATCCAGTTTGTAGAGTGTGTAGCCACCCTTGAGAACTACTGACTTGGAGGAGTGAGCCACCAGCAGGGGGCATCAGGAGCCTTTGTAGAGGAGAACATTGCTTATGCTGACCTTTGAAGCTGGGCGGACACAATTGGAAGCCTTCTAAGCAGAGCAGAAAAGCGGATGCAAGGACACAGAAGAGTTCCGCGCTGTGTTAAGACCTTAGGCTTCACCGTGTTCCCATGGGCAAGATACTCAAATTCTCTGTAGCTGTGTCCTCATCTGTGAAACAAGGATAAGACTAGCACCAACCTC